ATACAATTATTACAGTATTGCATAACAGTAAATCTTCTATTTTTTGGTGTGAATAAAAATTCATTATGTGAATAAAAAATCAAAATGGAATTTATTTGTAAAGCCTCAAAATGTAACTAATGAACAGAGGAAATGTTAGTTTAGTTCCAGGAATACCTACATTGTTTATTCTGGACCCTATTTTGAAATTGGAATATTTTGAACTTTGTGTTAAATTGGCCAAATTAACAATTTCCGATTACTTTAATTTGTAGTTGAAACAGTTGACTTGCTGATTTCTTGTGCTCAATCGATAGAATAGAAGTAATACTAGTGAAATAGCTAAGAATTTGGTTGACTGGAATAATGTAATTGGCCTAAAATGGGAGTCAAAGTCAGCAAAATCGCCAATTCATAAATATCGCTGACACATCAAAATTCGGGAGAGCATAATTTCGTCAATTTTCCATCAAATTTCGTACTTTGTTTTATTACCTTCACAAAAAGATTCTCTACCATTTCATAAGAAAAAATCATTTTTTTTTTTTAAAATTCTTGGACACTGGGGCACCACTTCAGATTTGGGCCTTGGACCCTGAAGGGGTTAATCGGGTACGAAATTGATCAATTGGAGATACCCAAAGAGCCTCTGGTTTTAGATAATCCTTGTGATATAAATTATGCATTAGAAACTGAGGCAGGGCTAGATTTATTTCCCCTTAATGTGATCACCAGAGCCATGGCTAAGAACTCTAAAAATGTGGATATTCAACAGCCATTAGAAATATCCGATGAATTAGGTTTGAACTTCCTGTTTAGCGAAGCAATTCAGTCAAGACCCACAGGTGACACTAAGAATATTTTACCAGTCCCTGCGGACCTAGCTAGAAAATGTAATAAAGAAGAATTTCTTATAGCACTAAAGGACAATAGAAGTTTAACCAATAAAGGTAAAGCGGAAGGTTATCTTTTCGATGACGACGGTTTTCTTTGGAGGAGAAATAATGATAATGACTCTAGTTCAAAGGGAAACTTGTTAGTGGTGCCCACGTCCTTGCGTAATATGGTACAGTGGACCCCCGCATACCGTCGCCATCACATAATGTACAATCCGCATACCGCTCGCTTTTATCGCAAAAATTTTGCCTCACATACCGCTCAAAAACCCGCTCACCGCTCTTCGTCCGAGACGCGTCCAATGTGCGCCCTTAGCCAGCCTCACATGTGCCGCTGGTGGCATTGTTTACCAGCCTGCCTCCGCGGTAACATCCAAGCATACAATCGGAACATTTCGTATTATTACAGTGTTTTTGGTGATTTTATCAGCCAAATAAGTGACCATGGGCCCCAAGAAAGCTTCTAGTGCCAACCCTACAGCAATAAGGGTGAGGATTACAATAGAGATGAAGAAAGAGATCATTGATAAGTATGAAAGTGGAGTGCGTGTCGCCGACCTGGCCAGGTTGTACAAGAAACCCAAATCAACCATAGCTACTATTGTGGGCAACAGAAAGGCAATCAAGGAAGCTGTTCTTGCCAAAGGTTTAACTGTGTTTTCGAAACAGAGATCGCAAGTGATGGAAGATGTTGAGAGACTCTTATTGGCGTGGATAAATGAAAAACAGCTAGCAGGAGATAGCGTCTCTCAAGCGATCATAAGCGATAAGGCTAGGAAGTTGCATGAGGATTTAATTAAAAAAATGCCTGCAACTAGTGATGATGTGAGTGAATTTAAGGCCAGCGAAGGTTGGTTTGAGAGATTTAAGAAGCATAGTGGCATACATAGTGTGATAAGGCATGGTGAGGCTGCCAGTTCGGACCACAAAGCAGCTGAAAAATATGTGCAGGAATTCAAGGAGTACATAGACAGTGAAGGACTGAAACCTGAACAAGTGTTTAATTGTGATGAAACAGGCCTGTTTTGGAAGAAAATGCCAAGCAGGAACTACATTACTGAGGAGGAAAAGGCACTCCCAGGACATAAGCCTATGAAAGACAGGCTTACTTTGTTGATGTGTTCCAATGCTACTGGTGATTGCAAAGTGAAGCCTTTATTAGCGTATCACTCTGAAACTCCCAGACCGTTCAGGCAAAAGAATGTCCTCAAGGAGAATTTGTGTATGCTGTGGAGGGCAAACAGTAAGGCATGGGTCACTAGGGACTTTTTCTATGACTGGTTACACCATGCATTTGCCCCCAATGTGAAAGATTACCTAACTGAAAAGAAATTAGAACTGAAGTGCCTCCTGGTGTTAGACAATGCCCCTGGTCATCCTACAGACGTGGCAGAGCGACTTTATGGGGACATGAAATTCATTAAGGTGAAGTTTTTGCCTCCTAATACCACTCCTCTCCTGCAGCCCATGGACCAGCAGGTTATTGCAAACTTCAAAAAACTGTACACAAAAGCTATGTTTGAAAGGTGCTTTGTAGTGACCTCAGAAACTCAACTGACTCTAAGACAGTTTTAGAGAGAGCACTTTAATATCCTCAATTGTGTAAACCTTATAGGTAAGGCTTGGGAGGGAGTGACTAAGAAGACCTTGAACTCTGCTTGGAAGAAACTGTGGCCAGAATGTTTAGACAAAAGGGATTTTGAAGGGTTTGAGGCTAACCCTGAGAGGACAATGAAGAACTAACCACTGATGAGCTGATAGATCAACTTCAACAGCAAGAGGCCAGACCTGAGGAAACTGGTTCAGAAGAGGGGAGAGAAATTGAAGAAGTTGCCTACTACAAAGATTAAGGAAATCTGTGCAAAGTGGCTTGAAGTGCAAACCTTCATGGATGAAAATCACCCTCACACAGCTATTGCAAGCCGTGTTGGCAACCTGTACACTGACAATGTTGTGAAACACTTTAGGGAAGTCATAAAAGAACGAGAGGTACAGGCCACTATGGACAGATATGTTGTGCGAAAGAAGTCCAGTGACTCTGAAGCTGGTCCTAGTGGCATTAAAAGAAGAAGGGAAGTAACCCCAGAAAAGGACTCGACACCTCAAGTCTTAATGGAAGGGGATTCCCCTTCTAAACACTAACACACACTCTCCCCTCCTCCCATCCCATCAATCATCACCAGATCTTCAATAAAAGTAAGTGTCATGTAATTGTGCATGCCTTTTTCAGTTTGTGTGTATTAAAACTAACATTTCATGTGGTAAAAATTTTTTTTTTCATACTTTTGGGCGTCTTGCACGCATTAATTTGATTTCCATTATTTCTTATGGGGAAAATTCATTCGCTTACCGAACATTTCGCATAACAATCAGCCCTCTTGCACGGATTAAAGTCGCTATGCGGGGGTCCACTGTATATGTGTATCTCCCCCTCTGTATCTCCCCCTCTGTATCTCCCCCTCTGTATCTCCCCCTCTGTATCTCCCCCTCTGTATCTCCCCCTCTGTATCTCCCCCTCTGTATCTCCCCCTCTGTATCTCCCCCTCTGTATCTCCCCCTCTGTATCTCCCCCTCTGTATCTCCCCCTCTGTATCTCCCCCTCTGTATCTCCCCCTCTGTATCTCCCCCTCTGTATCTCCCCCTCTGTATCTCCCCCTCTGTATCTCCCCCTCTGTATCTCCCCCTCTGTATCTCCCCCTCTGTATCTCCCCTCTGTATCTCCCCTCTGTATCTCCCCCTCTGTATCTCCCCCTCTGTATTTGTATGTGTCTATATCTGTCTCACAGGTACACACAAATACAATTATAGTGTAAATTACCTAGGATAACCTAAAAAATCCCAAGTGCTATACTGTGCTTGTAGATATAATGCATAAGAATATCCGTTCATTCGGCAGGGCTCGATGCTGCCGTCAGGCGAGTATTAAGTGCCAACTTTGCAGCCTCATATCTCAGTAAGTACTGACCCTAATTTTTTTTATTTTAATCCTATAACACTTAGAAAAACTTCCTCTATTTCAAGGGGGGGGGGGGGAATTTATTTTTCAAAATGTTCGGGGCACTGGGGGAGAGAACGTATATATACGTTTGGACTGTTTAGAGGTTAAAAACAATAAAAAGTAAAAATACACACAGTATGTACGCCCATTCCTTTCCTTAAAATATTTGTAGTCTTAATATAGGGTGAGGCGAGTTTTATTTGTAGGAAGTCAGGTTTGGGAAGTTTGGAATCCAGCCAGGGTAGCCATCCCCACCACACCCACGCAATGTAAACAAACCAGACGAACACGTCTGGTTTTCGTCACTTTACATTGTGTACAAGTTGTCTCCATGATGATACAGTAGAATAAATACAGAGAAACACTCCCATTCTCGTATAACATTTTTAGAAGAAATGACACCTTGAGTGAAGGAATACTTAAGTACAGGTACACATATGTATAATTATCAGTTATAATAATAATGTAGGTATGTAGTCCACCTGGGCTACATACCTGCACCTACCTACATGGCTACACGACATTTAATGCAGCCCAGGGCCATATTATTACCATTGACATACCATGTTCACTAAGTTTAATAGTTTCTAACCAACTACCTTTAGATGCCAACATAAACAATGGAAGTAGTAATGAATAATTCCAGCCGAGAATTGTAAACAAAAGCGTTATCTAATGTAGCATTTTCCTTCTGCCCAGCTACTACACCTCCATTATGTATAAACATAAAATGTTTATATGCTATGTAACGTGTTTCTTATATAATTTTGAAGAAAATATCATAAGATAAATTAATGAAAATGTCTATATTGATGTAAAATTAGACATCTAATGTGCCCAAGAGTGATTATTATTACATAATAGAGAAACGTGCTAATGGAGAATGTAAACAAACTGGGTGGTGCGCGGCGTATTTGAAAGACTGCTTGCCGTATAGAAAGTTTTGGTCATAATTTGAGATCGCCTTATTAGCGGAACGCCGCAAGGTGAAATGCCGAAAAGCGGGGCCCTATTGTACTGTATACTTGACCCATAGGTTAAACAGTATTATTTTTTTTGAACAAACATTTGTCGTTTTCAGGTCTAGGGAGGATAGTTTTGCAACTGTCTTGAAACAAATTCCTTACCACTGTTTTCTCCAGACATCACCTGCAGTACAAAAGAAAAAATAAATTTTAGTACAATATACAGCATCACACAAATAATAACAAGTACATAAATAATTTTAAAATTTTCAAAAACTCTTTAAAAATAAATTAATTATAAAACTTATACAAGTTTCATAAAACAGGATTAAAAAGTTTAAAAATAAGATGTATGGAAAACTAAGTTTAGAAACACAAAAATGATAAGGAAGGTTCATACAGCAGTGAGAAGGCAAGCAATTGGAATAACTACTGTAACTTCATTGTATGGGTCACAAGACAAAATTGCAAAAATTATCTGCAAATTATGCAAGGGAGTCCACACACTACCCCCAAGTACTGTGTTATATGTACAGTGGAATCTCAATATTTGTATGTCCCTACATTCGTACAACTCTATATCTGGCCAACTTTTAAGAGAAATTCGACTTTATTCAGACAATAGTTGACCCAAACAAAACTGTCCATCTGGACGAAGTCCAATGAAAACAAAGCATCACACACTCAGTCTCTTTTCAGCTTTCGTTTGTTAGGCATCTTTTGTACAAACTCTGTGAAATTTTTGTATTTCATTGATATTCTGTGTTTAAATATTTTCACTGAAAGTACTCACTCCCTCCCCCCCCAAAAAAAAAAAGTAATCCAAAAAAGTCTAAAAGGAAAGCAGCGAGAGCAACAATTAAAGTGCAAAAAAAACTCATTGCAAAGTGGAAAAGTAGAACACTTGTGTCAAACCTGGCCACTTAATATGGTATAGAGAATTCCACCATATCGTCCATATTGAAAAATAGAAGCAATAAAAGGGGATGATGTGGTAAAAGTAAAAATTCTTGCTATGAAAAGGCCACAGATAATTGAAGAAATGGAAAAACTTATTAGAGTGGATTAACAAAAAAAAAAACAGCTGGCCAGTGTCTGTTTCTGAAACAATAATTTGTGAAAAAAACAAAGCAGTTATATAGTGATTTAAGGCGAGATACCCTGGGAAACAGTGCTGATGTGATGAATTTGAAGCAAGTAGGGGTTGGTTTGATAGGTTTAAAAACAGTGGGATTCGAAGTGTAGTAAGGCATGGAGAGGCTGCCAGTGCTAACAGAGATGAGGCTAAAAAGTTTAAGGAATTTAAAACCTATGTAAACATTGAGGGATTTATTCCTCAAAGTTTTTAATTGTGGTGAAACAAGCCTGTTTTTGGAAAAGAATGCCTAAGAGAACCTACATCACACAAGAAGAAAAATCATTACCATGAAAGAGGCTAACACACTTCTTGTGTGGTAATGTTAGTGGGGACTGCAAAATTAAACCATTGCTAGTCTACCACTTAAAATCCAAGGGTGTAAGAAAAACAATGATAAAAAGTAAACTCAGTGTAATGTGGAGGGCTAGTAAGTTTATAAGTATGTTTATTCAGGTGTACACAAATAGTTACAAAGATCATCTCTACATACATGCTGCTATGTATGAACCTAGGATAACCCAAAGAAGTATAAGTGACTATTTCCACTGGGGGGCTAATAGTAAAGTTTGGGTAAGAAGGCAGTTAGTTCTTCACTGAGTGGATACATGAAGTGTTTGACCTTAAAGTGTGAAACAGTACCCTGAAAAAAAAAAAAAAACATTAAGGGCACTTTTGGTAATAGACAATGCTTCTGCTCATGCTCCAGGCTTGGAGGAAAATTTGGTGGATAAATGCAGTTTCATTCAAGTGAAGATCTTGCCAATAACACTAGTAGCATTGAAAATTGGGTTGGGCAAATGCTGTTAGTGGGATGAATTGTAAAGGATTTGCCTAGTATGGGTCAACAGGCCTGCTGCAGTGTACCTCCTTTCTTATGTTCCCTTATCCAACCCATGGAGTAGCAAATAATTTTCAATTAAGAAACTTTACACAAAAGCACTGTTGAAAAAGATGCTTTGAAGTGACCTCTGAAACAGAGCTTACCCTTAAGGAAATTTGGAAAAACCATTTAAATATCCTCCAGTGTTTAAGGATAATAGACAAAGCCTGGGGAGAAGTGTCTTTCAGGACAATGAACTCTGCCTGGAAGAAATTGTGGAAAGACCATCAGAGATTTTGACACTTTGAAACAGTCTGTAGTGAAGGATATTCTCTGGGCCAGTCCATGGGTTTGGAAATGGATGACGAGGATGTAGGGGAGCTAGTGGAGGATCACAAGAATGAGCTCACCACAGAAGAACTTCAAGACCTGCACAAGGAGCAGCAAGAAGTGGTTGAGGAAATTTCTTCAGTGGGGAGCAGTAAGGGCAACATTTCCACTGCAGAAATTAAGGAACTGTTACTATTGGGCTCAAAAATTGCATCCTAACATTACTGTTGTGGATAGGAGCATCAACTTGTTCAGTGACAATGTTGGTGACCACTTTGGAAAAAATTCTGAAAAGTCGTCAAAAGTGGACATTGGACACCTTTAGCAAAGAAAAAATCAAATGCCAGTGAATCCCCATCATCTTCAACTGCTACTGCATTGGGACAGAAAAAAAAAAAGCCAGATGGGCAGTTACCTTTTTTTTTTATGGAAGGTGCCACCCTTTCAAAGCAATAACATCTCTCCACCTTCCTCTTAGGCCATCAGCACCCCTCAGTAAAGGTAACGTGCAGTTAAGTTTTCATTTATTTCATGTATTTATTGTTTTTTTAAGTTTTTAGTTACAATTTTATGCACACAAATATTATTATACAGGTTTAAATTAGCAATATTTTAATTTAGAATGTTTTTTAATTGGTAATTTTTGGGGGTGTGAAATGGATTAATCCCATTTACATTATTTCCTATGGGAAAAATTTATTCAATCTTTGTATAACTCACTATTCGAAGAGCCTCTTCAAACTGATTAAGTTCAAATATCAAGGTACCACTGTACTAAGGCATATACATGTAGTACTGTATTATAGGTGTTAAACTAGTTTAACACAAAAATATGCAAAAATCATTTTTGTGGAACAGGTCTGCCATCACAAATCCAGCAATCAGTTATTCGACACTAATTTTGGCAAGCACAATTTCAAATTTCCAGGGTTACCACACCAACCTATTGGTACTGTGGTGGCACTACTTGCTGCACAAGTCATTCCAGTTTCTTTTTCTCCAATTATTGTTATCCTGCAGCATGTTTACATGCTGCAGGATAACACTGCCGCCTCAGCTGCTGCTTCACCACTATTATGGACGGCTTGAACGAACGAAAGTTCAGGTAAGATCCCAAAATGGGATGAGCGGGGAAGACGGGACAGACGAAGAAGAGTGCTGGAGAGGAGTGTTCTTAGTTGTAGAAATAGAGCCAGGGCTTAACCCAGCAGCTAAGTCGATCGTGGGACAGACATTGAGAACACACATAGCAGGCTCTTCTGTTGCGACTCCGTTGGGTGAGTGGGGAAGTGTGGACACACGATGAACAGTCGTGAGAGGAAGGTCTTGAGTTGTAGATGAAAGAGCCAGGGCTAAACCCAGCTGCGTGGCACTGCGAGGCTGTGTAGAGAGGGCATGTTGAGGGCATAGAGGAGAGAGCAGACTGCAGACAGTGCTCGCCGACTGATATGCTTCAGGCTGAGGTGAAGAGCTGGTTTGGACGTCAGGTGTTGGGAAGGGTGTTGTGTGTTTGGCTACACTTCGCTGGTGATGGAGCCACTCTCGAGTCTTTTGAAGTCTCTCTTGGACATGTGGAATAGTTGCATTCTGAGGTTAGAGCAGTTCAGATTCGCCACGAGGTAAGATAGTGCGTTTTCAAAAGGAATTTGGTGAGGTTTGGTGCAGGTGTACTTAACAGCTCCTTCTTTCATTAAGTGGAGCATATCAGCTGCGCTCATTTCGGTTGGGAGGTTGGGGGTGGTGTAGAAGGTTAGAGACCCATTAAAGGCTTGGCTTAGGTAACGGTTGCGTGTGGTTTCTTCTTCGACTACTATTTCGTCGTTGTCCGAGGGTTGTTCATAATGTTCTGGTACTATTTCGTCTTCTGTGACTGTGTTGAGAGGAGGCAGGGAGTGTTGGTCGGTCGTGATTTGTTGGGCTGGTGGCGGGTGGTGAGAGGTGGCAGTAGACGGTGGTGTTGGTTCTGGAGTCGAGTCTTGGTCAGAGATACGAGTAGGACCAGGGGTTGAGGTGAAGTTAACAATGTCTGGAATTAGCTTGAGGAGGTCTTGTGATGGTGGCGAGTCTGGAAAGTTGAAGTTTGGCATGTTGTTTAGGCGAAACAGTTCATTGATTGTTGTGTTGAATGAGCCAGGGTTTGCAGCATTAGTAAGGTGTGCATACATCATACAGTATAGCACCTTGGATGGAGCAGCGTCAGGAAGAGCAGAGAGGGACTGGCTGGGTGGAGACGATTGTTGTGTAGCTTGAAGGAGTTCGGTGGTATCTGATTGAATTTTTGCAATGGCGGCTTACTCTCAGTGGCCCTTATATACCCAACAACAGCACACCTCCTCTCGTGACATACGTAATGACTTATTTTATTCATTCTAGAGTATATTCCATGTTTTTATGTTATTAATATTGTTTATTATGTCATATTACTTGAATTGTGATAGATAAATAAGATATTACTGTCATATGGGGACATGGTTATTAAACAGATAGACAAACTGAAGCAAAATAAGTCCCCGGGACCCGATGAGTTGTTTTCCAGCCTGGAGTCTACTCCAGGCTGAGGGACTGATTACCTCAATCTCCTCTTCTTGCACCTCTCTGCTTTGTATTGGACTGATGAAACCACTGTGTGGCAAAACGTTTCCTAAATAAAGATTACCATATGGTGCATAAGTGTCTCAATCTTCAAGAACACTGCAGGTCTACTGGCCCATACAAGGCAGGTCCTTATCAAAATGACCTCTACCCAAAGCTACCCAAGAATTTACTCCCGTACCCAATGACAAATCAAACTCGGCTCCTCCCACTCATATATTTGTCCAGTCTCTTCTTAAAGCTACCCAAGGTCCTAGCCTCGATCACCCTACTAGTAAGTGTGATGTTAAATAAGAACTTAAGT